AACACTAAACATTACAAATAATATTTCAAAATTAAAACCAGCAATAATTAATCTGGTGATAATATTAAAACTGTAAATTTTACCCCTTAGTGTTCATAAACTAAAAAGGGCAGAGCGTGAAGTTGGCTACAAATGATATCGGTTTATTTTCTATATGGAATGGTTTTATTTGGAGGGCTCCATGGAGGCGGCTCACAATTTAAAAAGTGCATGATTTTCTTCTCACTCTTTTCCCGCTTTTCTTGTTGTTCTTTCTTTTCCTATAAAAATAAGCAAAAGAATACCAGGGAATGAACATTAATGTGAAGCATTTCCATCTCTCATTGTACATTGAACTGAGAACTACAAATGCACAACAATATAATTTACCTTTATAACAAAACAACAACAACTTGCATTTATATCATGCCCCTCATGCAGGGTAACGTTCGAGAGCGCGTTTCACATCAGAAGGGTGTCTCAAAGAGTTTAAGGCCACAATGATGACAAAGTGTATTGATTGTTAACGATGATAATATAATAATTTTTACATTTGATACAGGAACTTTCACGTCAGAAGGACTTCACAAATAGCTTCACAGGGTTTACTGTGGAGTGACTGTATTTGTGGATGAACGGGACAGCCCAATTGTGCACAGCAATGTCCCACAAACAACCATGAAACAAATTACCAATTTTATTTGATGGATTGTTGGCCAGGAAACCAGGAGAAATTTCCTTCTCTTTGAGTCATGTGATGGGATATTTAACGTCAACAACAACAACAAATTACATTTGATTCGGGAGAACGTCCCAGGGCGCTGGACAGTCAGGGATTTCACCCGAGCAGGACGTTGGGATCAGGAGGGGTGGAGGGCAGGGAAGGTAGGGGTAGGAGAGTGACCAAAGGCGCGATTGAAGACATGGGTCTTGAGACATGTCTTGGAGGAGGCAAGGGAGGGAGCAAGGTGAAGGGACTGTTGGATCGAGTGGGGCCAAAGCCCGACTGCAGACGGTGGGGCGGGCTGGGTGGGGGACATGGATCAAGGAGGAAGCGAACAGATCTATATAGTATTAGGTCACAGAGGTAGGAAGCAGCAAGGCCATGGAGGGCTTTCAAGGTGAGGACGAGTATTTTGAACCCTATCCTCTGGGGATGGGGAGCCAGTGGAGCCGTGCGAGGGTGAAGGTGATAGGGTCATAGAGCTGGTGCGGAAGAGGAAATGAGCTGCAGAGCTCTGGATGATCTGCAGCTTGTGGAGGGAAGCGTTGGGAAGACTGATAAGCAGGGAATTGTCAAGCCCAGATGTAACAAATGCTAGGCTTCAAGTTCGACCCCCAATTATCCTTCCTCCCCCACATCTGGTCCCTCACCAGCACCGCCTTCTTCCACCTCCGACGCATTAACCGTCTCCGCCAATACTTCACTTCAAAAGCTGCTGAAACTCTGGTCCATGCCTTTGTCACCTCTCGGCTGGACTATTCAAACACCCTCCTCGCCGGCCTTCCCTCCAATACCATCCATAAAATCCAGATTATTCAAACTCTGCCGCCGCAGTCTCACTCGCACCAAACTCCACTCCCCGATCACCCCAGTCCTTGCCAGACTGCACTGGCTGCCTGTCCCAGAAAGGATCGACTTCAAGATCCACACCCTTGTCTTCAAATCCTTCAATTCCTCTGCAACCCCCTACCTCTCTGACCTCCTCTCTCTTCAAAACAGTGCCCGTTGCCTTCGTTCCTCTGGGTCTGGCCTCCTCCTTGTCTCCCGAGTCCTCCGCTCCACCCTCAGCCGTACCTTCAGCCACTATGTCCCGAGGCTCTGGAACTCCCTTCCTCACTCCCTTTGCCTCACCCCCTCTCTCCCTATTTTCAGATCTCTGCTGAAGACCTTTCTTTTCGACCGTGCCTTTGGTCACCTTCCTCCCCCTCCCCCTGGCTCGGCTCCGGGATCCGTTACTGTGAAGTGCTCTGAGACGCCGTCCGGTGTGGAGGGCGCTATATAAATCCAAGTTGTTGTTGTTGTGTTGGCTGAAGGAGAATCCGTTCGTGGAGACAAAGTAGAGACAGTGTGAAAGGTAGGATTTGAACCAGTCGAAGACAGTCAGCGACAGGACATTTACCCTTAGAGGCAATCAGGGATTCTGTGAAACGTCTCACCCGAACAACAGCAACTCCAACAATGCAACTCCCCACCGCCAACCCCCCCACCCCGCCAACTGCATTGTAGTGTCAGCCCAGACCAGTGGTTTGTTTTTATTGATTGAATATTTCTTGATTTATGCCACAAATCAAGAAATATTTAACCAAGAAAATGTATTTTGTTGGTTGACCAAAATGTTTGGCCCCACTGGCCTAGACTATGTAAGTTCAAATACTAATGTGGGGCTTGAACCTACAACGTTCTGACTCAGAGGCGAGAGTGCTACCAACTGAGCCAGAATGTCACTATAAATAACACTGGCAGTTCAAAAAGGATCCAAAACTCAAACATCAAATTAACACCATCACACTAAAACGATTCTAAGGCAGCATCTATTGCTCTGTTCCTTATGAATTATTAAGAAAAAAAAGCTTTAGAAAATATTTAAATGCTTTCCAATGTTCTGCGCAGAGCTTACCAGCCATTCCTCATACACTGCCAATGCAGTCTCTTCTTTCTCATATTTTATGTACTCTTCTTCATGTTTCTTCCTCTGTTCTTCCTGTATCTTTTCCTTCAACTTTCGCTTTATTAGCACTTCTTTTTTTTCACTCCTTCCATTGTAATAAATCATAGCAAAACAGTTAAAGCAGTCTAAATACAAAAACAATACCACTAATTCTATTTAGTTTTAGGTTGATTCTCTGTTTCCAATGTTTGCTTACTTTTAGTTCCTCCTAATCTGTGAACCCGAAAAAGGTTTCCCATTTTCTCTCTCACACTGAGATTTTTTTAACCCGGACACAAAATCAAAGTTGTGCCAAAATAACTTCAATAACTTAATAAGCTGTGACAGCTAAGGTAAACAATTCAAATGGTAATAAGTTGCGAATATTTCTTGCAATTAAATTCAAGATCTTTGTCTTCACTTTCCAATCCTTCCACGGCCTCGCCCCAACCTACTTCTGTGACCTCCTGTAATCCTATGGATATGGCCGCTCCCTTTGCTCAGCAAACACTAGCGTGCTTCATGTCCCCTGCCCTATCTGTCTCACAGTCAGTGGTTGATGTGCGTGAGCTTTTAGTCAAACTGCCCCTGTTATCAGGTTCTCTATGGAGTCCCTCTGACTTGCCCTTCCCTTCCCACTTTTGAAGCCCACCTCAAAATTGACCTTTTTAACCTCACTTTGTTACTTCCCTCTCTCCACCAGCTTGGGTGCCCTGCCATCTGTGTAAAGCATTTTGAGATATCTGCCCAATGTGAAAGAAACTATATAAATGTGAATTGTATTTTAGTAAACAGTTATAATTATTGCAGAATAATTTGGAGATACTCTGACATTAATTGCTAAAAAAAATGGATTTAGAAGCTGCACTTACAGCTCACAATGTATACTCCGACATTTTATAATACATAATAATCATCATCTTAACATTTGGTGCAGTGCCTTTCACATCGGGAGAACATCCCAAAGCACTTCACAGGATATACTGGAAAGTGCTATAGACAAACCCCACAAGCATGTACTTTAGTTTTTTAGCAGGAAACAATTTATCTACCATTTTTGAAATGCTGTTAGACTTGCTGTCTTCTTTTCGGATATTTTTTCTTCTTCTTGTTTCTTCTTTTCTATTTCAATTTGTCTTTGTTTCTTGCATTTTTCCTTCAGATATTCATCTTTTTCTTGTTTCCATTTTTCAAATACCTACCGGAAAGGGCAGAGTTTACTCAGTTCATTTAATGTTTACCTGACGCAGATACTGTTTACAAAACAGGTACAAACCCCTAATAGGCAAAGACTCCACTCGTGTATTAAAGCAACCACAGTCAACAAACAAGAGATATTATCAAGCTGAAAGAAAAGGCTTACACAAATGTGGGGAACATGGTAATGCAGCAGACTGGTAGAGCTATAAAAAGGAATAAAGAGATACAAAGAAAGTAATAAGAGGTGCAAAAAAGGGAACATGACGAGAACTTGCTAGAGATATCAAAGCTAACAGCAAATGTTTTTACAATTAAGAGAAAGAGAGTGGCAAAGGCAACTGTTAAAGACTGTGATGGACAATAAGTGACGGCAGACTTGTTAAATGAGTACTACGTATCCGTTTTCTCAGTGGAGAAGTAGACTATAAAGGGAACCTAAAAATAAGTCAAAGGGACAAATTTACTAGATTTAATAGGACTTAAGATAGACAAATCTCCACGACCTGATGGTTTCCATCCCAGGGTATTAAATAATATAGTTGAGGAAATTGCAGATACATTAGTCGTAATTTTCCAAAGCTCTCCCGCTGAGCGGAGGAAGTGAGGGGTTCGTTAAGGTTTTAGAACATTACAGAGGTAGGATCGGGCAAAACCATGGAGGGATTTAAAAGCAAGGATGAAGATTTTGAACTCGATCTTCTAGGGAATGGGGAGCCAGTGGAGCCGGGTGACAATGTGGGTGATAGGTTCACTGAGTCTGGTGCAAAACAAGACATGAGCTGCAGAGTTCTAAATGGTTTGAAGCTTGTGAAGGGAAGAGTAGGAAAGTCCAGTGAGCAGAGCTGGCGTAGTCAAGCCTGGTTATGATACAAGTAGGGATAAGGGTCTTGGCAGCCTGAGGAAAGAGGTAGCAGTGGAGGTGGACAATGTCGCAGAGGTGGGGGAAAGCTGAATGGGTCAAGGCATGGATGTGGGGTTTCAAGGACAGTTGAAAATCGAACAAGACCCTGAGGTTCTGTACTGGCTCCATGAGATGGCCAGGAAGGTGGAAGGCGAACTAGATGGACCTTGGTCTTTTTTCATCTAGGATTTCTTATGTTCTTATGAGGTGAAGTGTCTACCGGCACCATGTAGATTGATGCTGTCAGTGCCTGAGGTGAGAAGGCACTGACAGGAGCCAAGCAGGCTCGAGGGGCTGAATGGTCTATTCCATTGTTCCTGTACTGACAACTGAGTATATTTTAACTCCTGCAAAAACACTGCAAGCAGATTTAAACAGACTTGACTTCTCGAATGCCCTGCTCACCATCAACCCAAGCTCTAGCCTCCACAAGCTCCAGAACTTCCCAATCAGCAAGCTCTCCTGTCTTAGCGCTCCCTCAGCCCATCACCTCCATCCTCAAAAGGGCTCTACTGGCTGCCTATCCCCCACTGAATCAATTTGGGGTTAGGTACAATCTTCAACAGTATGCAAAGTAATGTTACTGTTCTTCGATTAAATAAAACAGACTTAATAATGAATTAATGAAATTAAATAAGATTTCGCACTGCCTTCTTTGCTATTTCTCTTCTCTCTTCCTTTTCTGCTGCTTCTTTAATTTTTTTCTGCACTTCCTCTTTCTTTTTTTTGCAGGTTTCTTTGAGCACGTTTTCCTTTTTCACCATCCAGGCATCAAAGGAAGCCTTGGCTTCTTCTTTGCCTTCAATCTTCTCCTTTAAAGCAATCGGCAAATTTAATTTCATACTTCAGTTATCAACAGCATCAAAAAAGGCATACAACAATTATGAATATAGAATAAGATTAATTTTCATGCTGTTTGTTTTTAGATAGGGTTTGCTCTGAATCACCATTAGTAATTTTGTAAAGAGTAATTAAAAATTAAATATTCCTAGTGTTTACTGTATACACCTACATACCATCAATTCAATTATTTATGTATGTAATAAGTTGAATGATTTTCTTTGTATCTGCTTCACTGTTATAAATTTTCAGTGCTCTTCCCTTACCCTCCTCTGCTAAAAGCACATGGGCTATTTATGGTTAGGTTTTCTAATTTCTAAATATTTTAAAAGGAACTTTCAACACAGTTGTATTAAAAACATACCATGCTTTTGGATTTTTAAAAGCTGTTACATTAAAGAAAGCTCCAATGTCAGGGCTGGGATTACTTCCATAGGTGGTAGCATCCTTCAAAGGCACTGACTATTTTTCATGTGTCTTTATTTTTAAATTTACTGTGTACAATTATTTTTCATAATTTTATCTCCACTGCCTTTCTGCTCCTGGTCTGGCATCCACTTGCTGGACATATGGTACCTCAGGTACTGATTGCTCTCTGCTAACATTTTTATTGTGTGAGCCTTGGCAGTGAGTGTCGACAGGCCACTTGATTGTAGAGGACTGAGTTTAACCTCTCCTGATCTGGCAGCCACCTAAGAACACAACCAGCCCTGAAGGGGAATCAGGAGCAAACCCTGGCTGTCTTTCCCTTCTCTCACTCTGGGAAGGCTGGAGCCAATTTCACCTTCCCATACCGCCCCTGTAGAGATCAGCAAACCCAGATTGGGATTCGAACCAACGATCCTTTGGTTCATAAGCAGCAGCTCCTTCGATTACACAATAGGGACTGCCTCTGAAGTAAGAATCTTTACCATGACCTATTCAGTCAAGGGCTACCTTGTGTATTCCTGATCATATGCTAATCCAGCATCCCATATGGGCACTTGGAGACTAATTGTATTGCTTGCTCCCCACCACTGCCCTGGATAAAATCAAATTTGATCCCTACAGATCAGGGATTAGCACAGACCAAAGCCAATACTAGCATTGACATTGTAGCTTCCTTTAATGTAACAACTTTTACAAATTCAATAGAAGAGTATTTTAATACAACTGGACTGAAAATATTTAAAAATTGGAAAATCTAACCATAATTGTTAACATACAATGTGCAGTTGTCTACTGAATTGATCTGAAATTATGATTGTTATGTGTTATGTATAAAATGTTTACAACAGGCATGTTTGTCAGCATTTTGAATCCGAGGAATGGTTGCTTACTACCCTCATAGTGTTTACAGACCGAGAAGTTAAAGTGATTGAAGTTGCCTATTTTGTGAGGTCAAATCAGCAAAACCTGAAGATAAAAGGGGAACCTTTTGTTTCTTCTCCTTTTCTTGCTGTTCGTTGAGTCTCTTATTTTTGTGCGCTTCATAAAGTTGCTGTGTTTTCTTTTGCAGCCACTCCTGTGAGACAAAGATGAACACAGCCAAATTACTTACTTGGAATTGCAGGTCCTACACAAAGGCCATGCTTTATAACACATACATTTAAGTCATCGAACTGTTAGTGGTGTGAATATTGAGTAGGAATTGAGTAGAGATCATGGAAAGTACCCTAAGTGTGTACACAGTGCTGTCTATGCCTTCAATGTGATTTATGCTGTCTGAATTCTTGCAATCTCCATCAGGGAAAAGGAGTAGTAGTTGAGACTAAAAAGCTTTCAATATTTATAAATTTAGATTTTTTTAACCTCTCCTGCTACATTTTTGTACATTTTTTCTTTCAATTTATTTTATAACTCTCTTAAAGTATTTCAAAAATAATTGTGGTTAAATATCCACACCAAGTTGGTTAATATGTATGAACTAATACTACTTCAAATGAAAAAGCTTGCAAAAGTAGAAAAAAGTACAGATATTTAAAGTTAATAACAGATGCTTACATTCAAACTGAGAGGAATATTGGTTATTTTGTATACAAGATAGTCAACTGTCACTGAAAATTGCATGCATGGAATTGTATTCCCATCATTTTAAACAACAAACCTCCTTAATGTTCCTGAAAGTTTATCCTGTCAGAACTGACATCTATAATTCACTTTTGTACTCTCATATATCAGTTTACCTATTTTACAAATAGCTAAAGCACTTAATAACTAAATCTATTTCTCACAATTTTATGTCGAATTTTGTAATGTTGGTCACCTGATAAATGGATGCTCTGATTGTGTCTGCATTTTCAAGGTTAGAAGTCGCATTTCCTGGAGACATAATATCCAAGATTTTTAATGTTCCTAAGTACCGAGGTTCAGCTGAATTGGGGCGAGGACCCTTTCCAACAAAACATCTATTTAAGATCATTGTTTGAGAACTTAAAGGTCTGTGGGAGAGAAAACAAACAAATAATTAAGTAAGGTAAAGATTTGCTCTATGTAATACCTGAATTAACTGTGGTACATTATGTAACTAACTAATACATGGAATAAACTATTACTTAAATTCCAGGTTATTCAACTTGAGGCCATAATCATGCAAGACAACATTACAAAATAATTCTAGGAACTGCATTTGTTGAATTTGAATTTGGATTGATATAATCTTGGATCGCATTTCAACGTGCGCAAATTTAGGATTTTTTCTTGGTCATTTTTCCTCTTCTGTGATCTCATCAAAATGTTTTAATCACAAAAACTGAAGAAAGAAAATAGATTTCGGAAACTACAAGTTAAAAACGTATACCAAGTCCAACAGAATATTTTTATTTTAAGTTTATTTTGTTAACTGGAATTCTTTCAAGGGTTCTTTTCATCAATGACTTTGTAGCCAAACTGTGACAAAAGTTACATTCCATGTCTCCATCCAGTGAACCTTTTATAACAATCACTGAATTCAGCCTGCCAAATCTGAACTGATGTTTTTTTCCCCAATGAATCATCTAACCCAAACTCACTCTTCATACATTTCAATATTCTTCTTCTTCAAGCATCCAATTCTCTTTCAATAAAATGTATGGTCTCCACTTTAACTGTAAAATTACAGTGCAATACCTTCCATTATTAAGGACACATTCCTTCTCTAATACATTTAAAAAAAAGTATTTCTTCCAAAAACTGGCTAAAATTTATTTAATCTTTAAGGTATTCTGTGTAAAATAGCTTTAACTTAGTCTAGCATAATGCTTTTGATATTTGTATTGCTCATACATTTATCTTGTCAATCATGCTCAACTACCCGTGGAATTCTGCAATTCCACTGTTGCAAACTTCAACATACAATATGGTGCACACATGAGGGAAAAGGGAATAGAGGGGTATACGAAAGGGAATTAGAGGTGAAGGCTCATGTAAACTATAAGCACCAGTATTGACTAGTGGAGTAAAATCACCTGATTCTGCGCTGCAGCATATGTAATTCGATGTAATTCCTTCTGTCTGCTGACTATACATTCTTGAATTGGTTTTCAGAGAAAAAAATAATTACAGCAATTTCTGTGATTGTACTGTTGTCTCAGTGCTTGTGTAAAATTAAACCTTATCTTCCAACTGTTGAATCTAAGTCAAACTAGTAGTGAGATTAAGACTCATCACCAAAGCCTTTGTTGAAACCAGAGAAAATAAACTTTTGTGCCAGTTTTCATTAATTCAGGAGTATCTTCCTCCTGTTTGCTTCAAATTATTTTATAATTTGTTCCCTTAAAATATCAATATAATTATTGAATCATATGAATTTCAGGACAGGAGATGCTCATTCAGTCCATTGCTACTCTAATCCCAATTCCTTGTGTTTGTACTTTACCCTAATATATCTTTATTCTTGAAGTGTTCCCTTTCAAATAACATAACTGACTGCCTCAATAGCCACCTCCAATTACTGTGTGTTTGGCAGTTGTTTTCAGATAACACTTGAAAATAAATCATTGCTTGGATGGATTTCACTGGTAAGCACAATGAACCACAACAGACAGTGACATACAAACATACCTTGTCCATTAGGGAATTTTCTTTTCAACAATCATCCCTAAAGACTGATTATCTAAAACAATCGTAATGGATGAATGCCGTTAATTGTAGCATGCATAACATTATTGTATTTGTTGTGGTATAGAAGTATTGATATGGTCAAATAATCAAAGTCAAACAGATGCTGCAACTTAATTCAGGAATACAGAATGGCAGTGCTGAACAGCTGTCTTCAATGAACACAATAGGTGCAGTTGAATAAAATACAAGCTATCTGTTACCATTATTCTGAAATTTGTTTAAGGTAATAAAACAGGACTTCAAATATTATAATTTACATTTGCAGACTAAAGAACCATACAAGTTGCTAGGGGACAAGAAAAGACTTTTGTTTGCTGCTACAATTATAAAATTTAGACTTGGAACCAGTGGATGACATGAATTCAACAACAACAACAACCGTATTTATATAGAACTCTTCACCTGGCATAGCGTCCCGGAACGAATTGCTGACTGAAACGCAATCTAATCATTTTTAAGGATAGGTGAAGTTTGGAGTTTTCTGGGCACTTGCTTTATGTAATGCATAGTGCGATTTTGGTCTATTCTTGTTAACTAATAACATATCTCAAGACTACATTGTTTCTGATGGGATGTGAAATAGAAAATCAGCTGAAAATTATGGTTCACCATAAACTCTCTTCCCCTGGCAGTGATCTCTATTCAGTGGCTCCAACTTCAATAGGCATTTGTACCTAACTTTGTACAACCCCGACCTATGTCTTGCAATTTGTTGTCTGAAAGAGACCATTCATGATCTTGACTGTTTCAAATGTACAAAATGGTGCAACTGGCTTCTTTCACACAAAAACAAGAATGCCATTGAAAGTTCTGACACCCTACATGCAGTATATATGAATCAATCTTAATAGAGCAAGTGGTGAACATGCCAGTATTGCTTCTATTGCTGGCTATCCTTTCTTTCACAGGACATGAAACAGAAGTTTCCTGATATTTCAGGCACATTCCTGGGCAACATTTGGAGCCAAGCTACCATTTCTGATTTTAATTCAAGTTTCCAATATGCATTTTCTTCTTCTAACAATTAGAACGAAAATACTGAGCAAGTTCTATTGAGTATAGTTCTTAAGAGGAAAGCTTTTGGCGACAGTTTATTGGCTTCCATCTGGTGATTCCGGTTGGATACCACCAACGGAATTCAATCATTTACCCCAGAAGGCGTCATTCACCTGATTGGTAATTTCAATGGCATCACAAGGACTTGATAGGATACAGTAAAATATAAAGAGAAGTCATGATGTGCTCATTTTCTAGTTGTTCTTTGGCAACATTGTATCATCCATTTGGATAAAGTGCTCTTTGCAATAATAATAATCCTTGCATTTGCTATATAATTGCAAGTTGTTTTTGTTGTTGATATCACGCCTTATCACATAATTAAGACTTCTCAAAGCCCTTCACAGAATATATTATCATCTGTACTCTATTCTGGCCATATTGGATGGAAGGATGAGATCAGATGGACCGAAAAGGCCTTCTTCATCCAAACCAATCTTGTGATCTTGTGAAGGTTAGAGCTCCAAGACTCTACCCCAAGTGAAAGGCGCTATATAAGTTGTTGTTTAAATCTGTGTCGTTTACTCTGTCTCCATCTAAATCAAATGTCTTACTCACAACTACCCAGATTTTTAAAATACTGAAATATGTCTCCCAAATAAAAAAAATTCTATTGAGAATACTTTCAGTTTTTAGGACCTCTCTTGATAACATAAAGCCTGAAATCACAGAATCAACCATGTCAGTCTTCTTTGAAACATCCCTTCTGAGCTGTTCCCCTGAGTGCATGGGTGCACCTCTATCTGCCATAGCTCCATATAATTCCTTCAGCTTCATCATAATAATCCCTCCAAAATAAAACAATAATAAATTGGTCATTTTCAATCCACGACTGTTTGTGGGACACTGCTGTGAGTAATTGGCTGCTGCATTTCGCCCACAAATATACAATCAATTCACTTTACAGCATATTCTGTGAAGCGCTTTGAGAGTCTAGAAAACGTGAAAAGTGCTATATCAAATGCAAGGATTATTATTATTATTATCTGTCAATATGCATTTGTAATTTCTGCTCTCCTAACTTGAATATACTCCTCTCTATTCCTGTTGATGCATTCATACATATGCATTTATATACTGCCCCGCGTGAAGGGTGTTATATAAATGTAAACTGTTGTTGTATATATTTGGCACTCCAAAACCCAAAACAATAAGAAATTGGTCATTTTCAATCCACGACTGTTTGTGGGACATTGTTGTGCGCAATTGGCTGCCCCGTTCGCCCACAAATATACAGTCAATTCACTTTACAGTGTGTTCTGTGAAGCGCTTTGGGACGTCCTTCCGACGTGAAAAGCGCTATATCAAATGCAAGGATTATTATTATTATTATTATATATACTGTGAAAATCTGAGGCTTAAGCACCAGTCCTGATAGACACCATTTGTCATTGCCCCTTCAAATCAGAGTGTGTTCCTTTTATCCAAACTCTTGGCCTCTTGTTTCCCAACCAATTTCCAAACCGTGAACAAGATTGCGTCCAATTCCATATATATATATAGTTTTAAATAGTAATCCCTTACGTAGCAGCTTTTCAAATGCTTTCTGAAAATCCAAGTATGTGACATCCATCAATCTTCCTTTATCTGTCATCTCAGCTGTGCTGTCAAAGAACGCTATTCGGTTAGTCAGATATGATCTATCTTTTACAAAACCTTTTTGGTTTTCCCTGCTCAGTTCACAGTTATCCAAATGTTGAGTTACACAGTCCCTAATGACGCATTCTTATAATTTTCTCACAACACTTTTTCTCTAAAGTTAAGGTCACTGGTCTATAGTTTCTTGATTTGTTCTTTCCTCCCTTCCTGAATGATGGCATCACGTTTGCTAGCTTCCCATTTTCTCAAATAAAGTCTAAATCACTTTAGCTTGCTACCTCTCCAGCTGCCTTTAAAAAACTGTCTCATAGGAACTGCCTTTGTCAAAATTTTTACATTTCAGATTTCTTTGCTCAGTGTGCACTAATATATTAGTCAACCAACCTCTTTGAGATATTCTTTTGTACAAAATACACTATATAAATGCAAATTGTTTTTATTCACTAGATAGATTTCGCAATAAAGAACTGTAAAGAATAAAAGTCCAGCAAAGGGCATTGTGTAAATTGTTTAATTTACCTGTTACGTACTGATTTTTCAAACGATTCTGTCTTTTGTCTCTTCCCTCCCTGTGGAGTCATGTTAGCTTTGACTTTTTCCTATGAAAGGCAATAATTACAGATTCAATTCCAAAGCAGTTATATGTGTGTACTTCGGGTGAAATGTTTACCAATAAAGAAATGTAACAGAGTTAGCATAACACTGATTAATAATACAAATTATTAATTGTTCAGCATTAAATCTTTGTTCATCATAAGACATTAGCCTATACCTACACATGTTCCCTGATTTGTGACAAAGGCATTTGTTCTTAGTTCATGATCAATCATTCCTTCAAGTGCTACATAAATGCAAGTTGTTGTTGTTATTGTTGTAAGCTCTTACTTGAACTGAATTTAGCTCATGCTCAAATCTTACCTTAAAAAAAATGCAGATTCATCCCAAGTGATTGTCTGATCTCATATGGGCCATTGGAGGTAATAATAATAATCCTTGTATTTGATATAGCGCCTTATCACATCTTCGAGACATCTCAAAGCGCTTCACAGAAAGTGAATTGACTGTGCATTTTGTTGGTGAAACATAGCTAGTAATGTAAAAATCTATGGGCATTTGCCCACAAGGAAAAAGCTGAAACACGGAGGTTGAGCCAAAGTGTGCTACTATAGGCATCTATCTTCAATTGAAATTAAATTAAATCAATTACTTCAATTGAAAGTAAGAAATCCTGTATTTAAACAATCCTGCATGAGCAGAAGCTGTAAGATATGCAATAATTTAAACACAAATCATAATGGTTTCAGGCATTTAAAAAAGTTATATTGGGTGTTAATTTCTCCAGTACGTTCTTCTATGGAATGATGCATGAGCTGGTCACCGTGACTTTAAAAGGCAAAGTCTCCAGACTAACCCCGTTGTTATCTTTTTTCTTCGAGAAATCTTCTGGATCGATGGTTTCTTGTTCTTCAGTACGTTTAATCAGCTCCATTGGAGTGTAGCTCCTTAGCTCTGAATTACTATTGTCACCATTGTCCGCAAGATCTTCATCTGCATAAAACACAGTTATTCATGGTTATTTTGCAACTTTCCAAGTTAGCGGTTGGCAGAATATGAATCAACATTAGTTTTGCCTCATTTATCTGCTAGGGACCTTACAGCCCTCTGGCCTCAATATTGATTCAATAATTTCATCCAAAAACAGCTCACCTTCCCCCTCCCCCTCTTCGGTGATCATTACCGCATCATCTGGGTCCCAGACGCACCTTTTCTCTCTCTGGTCTGCCTGTTTTGTTGCAACTCCCCCACTTTTTTGCATTATTAACAACTCCTTTCCCCTGTTTTGTTGCAATCCCCTCTTTTGTTTTGCATCATTAACACATCTTTAACCCTTGTCCTCTGCCCCATGTCCTGCTTTGTCTTCCTTGCTCTGCCTTCCCCACTCCTTAAAAGCCTCTCCATCGCAACATGCCCCAGTTCTGATGAAGGATTGTGGGCCTGAAAGGTTGACTCACTTTTCTTTCTCCATAAATGCTGCCTGAGTGTTCCCAGGGACTTCTGTTTTTGTTTTAATTTTTATTATTCTTGGCAGGTCTATGGTTTTCACATTTTGTACTTACTACAATCTTCCTCATAGTTTTCAGTTCAAACAAAAAACAATATTTGCGAGATTGGACCACTTGAAAGTATTAAATGGGAGACAGAGATATTGATAAATATTTTCCAATAGTACTCATATTGTAAGAAGATATTCACATCAGGCAGAAGACTGTTGGCTGTTGAGTTACTGTGCCACCAGATTTTAGTGTAGCAGATAGTTTTCTGTGGGAATTCAATAGCTGAAAGCTCACACAGTCATTAACCAACACAGCTGCTGAACCTAGCACTGTATACAACAAACTTCAGAAATTAGTTGCCCATGTTACCACTAACTTTATTATTCTCAAGGCAATATTATTGTACCAATAGTTGACTTTACATCCCGCTGAAAGCATTACACAAAACTAATTGATGTTAACATAGTTTTCACTTCCATAATATTTTTGTTTCCTGTTGAAAATTACAGTTGATATATACTGGACAAAAAANTCTTTGATGCAGAATAGAGTGATGCATTCGTTACTGCTGTCATTTTCACCAACAGAACAATGTGGAGAGTGAGGCCTGATTTATAACTTCCACTCTGCATTGCACTTCACGAAACAATGGCTATTAAAAGATAACTCCCGATTCCAGTGTCTTGACACTTAGTTGGTCATATAGCAGAATACAGATGTAGGGAGCTTGCGTTTCAAGATTATTAAAGAGGCTGTTGCGCATTAATTGATGGTTGTTTGAATGTTTTTGGGCCATTCATTGGATTGCCCAAGAACTTTCAAGGACATATTTCGGAGAATAATTTAACATGCTCTCAAAGCATTAGGCAGTTATTACAATAAAGTGCACAACAATTTCATCATTTCCAACCTGTGATTTTATCTCATCCCTTGTATGAAAACAAATGCTGGTTACGTTAAAATACGTCCAATTTTATGCAGTAGTTATCAAAAGCAACATGGCAGTCAGGTGCAGATGCTTATCACACAGCAACTTGTTTTCTTCTTTAAAAGTGTGAAAACAAAAGAAAAATCCAGATCTAGTTTGGACTAGCATGCACAAAAGTATAAACTAACCACCTATTGGTCGGATGTATTTAATATGTTCATTAGAAAGTAAACTAATCTTTCTAATTCATGACAATATGCAACAATAAAAATTCCAGGTGCAATCTGCATTATTTGATTGATGTCTTAAGGCTTAGTATATATCTGAATGAAAACATTGTAATGCCTTAAAATACACTTGTTTCCAATTTAATTTTAATAAATAAAAACAGTAACAATAGACTGGTGGCATGTATTACGCATAAATAGCTATGGGGGATGGTTACATTATTACATTATGTCTGTGACACAGCAATAATATTTCACAGGGAAGTGGTAACTAACTGCAGTTGGGTATCACTGAAAGATCTACAACAAGCAAACTTTTTAAAGTATCTGCAACAAACAAATGTTTTCAAGTATTTGTAAAGACAATTCACTACTGACATAATATGGATGGGGGTGCTCCTCATTGATGGCCAGCAGAGATAGATCTTGTCCAGATTTATAGGTGTTTGAAATGCATGAAATAATTCTTCAAGTGTCAGCGACGTTTCAGGTTACAGTACAATACACGGCAAATCAAAAGTCCTTACTCATTCGTCTATATGAGATGTTCAAACTGTTGACTTTTACACATATCAACTCGGTGACAAAAACATTTGCGACGAAAGACATTTCCTGTAATAGCTGCACACTCTCTACAAATATTGTCTTAAAAAACATAATTAATAATTAAAAATTCGAGAGTAAGCACTTCTAATTCACACTGTATATACTCAGAATTATCTCAAAAGTGTGAAACTTTGTTCTTTTTGGTCAAAAACATTGATATCAAACCACACCGCTGCTAAGTTCTCTGAGACACTATCCGCAAGAAGGGCGCTATATAAATGCAAGTTACTGACGTGAATAGCGCTATATCATATGCAAGGATTATTATTATTATTATTGTCGGTAACTTCTGTTTGAGTGAACAGCACAGAAAAATTGGGATGATTTGTAGGGACATCAACAATGGCAGAGCTTAAAAATCTGCTATAATTTTCACAAGAGACAGCACTTTGGACAGTTTTTAAAGATGTGATACATCAATTATATCATTGTGGCACAAAGACATGAAATAAGAGGCACTTGGCTATAGAAAGCCAGCTACTTTGCGAGCTGGCTTGAAATTAGAGACAAGCATTAAAAGTGGTAAATGGTGACCAATTTGCTGTCAGTGGTGAATTTAAAGCACCATAAACCTTGAATCCAGTAGATTCATGAACTAGTAGAACTTAGTTCTCTAAAAGAAAACTCTCACTTCTCATAAGCATTGATGATAACCGGTTTTATAATGTTTTGTAATATCTTAAATACAAAAGCTATACTTTGCTGGTCCAATTGAAGATTCTTCAATGAGAGCTTTATAAATGCTTCTAAAACACTGCTTAAGTAGATAAATAGAGGAAACAGTGAAATACTAAAAGCAATTCAAACAATTTATTATTTAAAGTGACACTATGAATAACAAAATATGTCTAATAAATAAACTTTATCACACATAAAACAAAACTGTCACTTCATGAATCTTCTGAATTCTTTTGATAAGTAGAAATGTTCAAGGACATCTCAGCTTCAAGGCTTTCAATTTACCAAACTAAAGAAAACTAATTATCCTTAGATTTGATACAACATCTTGGATATCATTGAAATCCCTCAAAGCGATTGACAGGGTGTAGCAATTGTCTATTTTGTGGTGGAAGTAGGATACATATGGTTAATTATTAAATGACTGCAAATTGAACCAAATGAACAGAACCACAGAGGGAGGATACAGTCCAATATAATAATAATAATAATAATAATAATAATAATAATCCTTGCATTTGATATAGCGCTTTTCACGTCGGGAGGACGTCCCAAAGCGCTTCACAGAACACACTGTAAAGTGAATTGATTGTATATTTGTGGGCGAACGCGGCAGCCAATTGCGCACAGCAATGTCCCACAAACAGTCGTGGATTGAAAATGACCAATTTATTACTGTTTTTTTTTTTGGTTTTTGGAGGGATTATTATTAGGCTCTGTGTGGAGTAAGGAAACTTGCCCAAGGTTTCGCCCTCTGCCTGGAATTGAACTCAGGTCTCTCGCTTGCAAAGCGAGTGCTCTAACCACTGAGCTACAGGACTCCGTATATCTTCATAGTTTTCGTAGTCTATATGTGAACCAGTTAGGGCTTCAAGTTCTTGTGGAAGTAGTCTTACGCTCCACCTTAGCCTGCAAATCCCGAGGTATCAAATTATATCTTTTATAAACTGACATATAGAAGTTTCAAATTATACATCATTATAAAAATTAGTTTTTTGCTATTACCTGCTCGCTGAGTCTAGTACTGTTCATTTGTACAGATGCAGCATGTTATTTGATATTTCCTGCTCTCTTGGTGATGTATGCAGCAACATAGGCTTGTTGCTAAGCAACATCTTCATCTCAACCCAGAAAAGATGCTCATCAACATCGGTATTAGTTCACTCCTTCCTCAATAAGACCTGCAAACCATGCTGACAATAGTCCCTGAGAATTATTACTCCATTTGTATTAGAGCGCGCCCTTTTTGTGGAATGTAGTGACTTCTCACAAAACCACAAACATGTTTTACAGTCTTTGGCAATTCTACACTTAACGTGTAACACATGATTTTTCTCTTTTTGCCTTTGGCTTTATTCAAATCTTTTGTTTGTCTGATTGGGTTATTGACCAAAACAGTACTTCAACTAAATTAACCAACCTCTTATACAAGAATCCACCCTTGTTTCAACAGAGTCTTCATGTCTCTCGCAAGTAGATGAGGATGTGTGTCTACTGACATTTAAAAATGATGTCTTAGACTGGCAGTTGATCAGTCTTGAATCCTACACAAAGGAAAAAGAGTTATTATGTTAAACACGAAATGCTGAGGAAAGTTGCGACAGGATACATATATAAATAGCAAAATCAGGAGATTCTCTCACAATGGATAACAATAAATAAAGAAAGAAATAAAGAAAGAAATTTTAAAAACGCGGTGGACGGGTATTTGAGGAGGACGGGTTTGCAGGGTTATGGGGAAAGGGCTGCGGAGTGGGATTGACATTACGTTGCTCTTCTCAAAAAGCCGGCACAGACTCGATGGGCCGAATGGCCTCTTTTTGTGCTGTACGATTCTATGATTCGATGATTCTACGATTCTAAGAACTTGCTTAACAGGTGCAGAATAACACAAACAATTAACAGTTAACTAAAAGTAAACTTAAAACCTTACAATGTTTAATGTTTGGAGCGTTACAGCTGGTTGTGTTTATCAAAACAACACAACTAGTGAATTTGAACTGAAAGTCACAGCACTTTACATATTTAGTTCACTAACACGGTTGCACAAGTAACCAGGAAAACCAAAGATAGACCAAAGATACCGCCCTCTATTTAAAATCTTATCCAGAGGATGGCACCTACAAAATGCAGCACTACTCCAACACAGCATTGGAGTGTCAGCCTACTACTGTGAGCTCAAAGTCATGACATTGGCCTTGAAGGCTCAATTTTTAGACTCAGGTGAGAGAGACTATCAGCTGACACATTCATTAACCCAAATACATCCTTTCATTGCTGCTATAACTACTATTATAGTTTCAAGGATTATTCAAAGCAGGTATTATGATAGATTTAGCCTACATTAAATAAATAAAATGCAAAGTAAGCCAATAGATATTTAAATTAATTGTAAACATTAAAACGTTATTTTAGAAATCCTTTTTAAAAAGTGCTGCCGGCTTTAGAGATAGTAACAAATGGAAGGAAGGGCACATCTGAATAGATGTGATAGCATATTATGCAGAATGGTTACATCCTATAGCAAACGCAAGGATTATTATCTTGCAGTTGCCAAACTGGTTATATGACACAAAACATATTTCTTGTAAATGGAGCATCCTCACATCCGTAAATGTACTGCATCAGTTTTCACCACTTTCCATCAGAACATAAATTCTAATTAAATACTGTTCAATCCAAACAAGGCAGTGTAATTCAATCTGTTCATGTTACCTCAGGACTGGGGCTCCTAGTACAAGTTTGCCTCTCGGTCACCAACGTTTTGCTGATAGCTGAGGAATGTTTTGAAAGGGCTGACGAGGCTCTAGTGTAACATGACTTCTCTGATTCATCATCCTGTGTAGAGCTGCACTGCATTTTCAGACGGCGCTGGCGAGGTTTGGGTTTGGGACATTCATCCAGCACAGTACACGTTGTTTCATTTCCTTCAGGTCATCAGAAACAAAATAAAACTTCAATACGATGGAAATGTTAACAACACGTGATTTGCAATCTGTACTCCATTTCATAAATTATTGTTATGTTATGTAAAGCATCACAACCTCTGTTGTATTTCAACCCATTCTATTAATACTAGGTAATGAATCTTTAGGAGACCATGAAGGAATTAGCTTAACAGAAAAACTTACTCAGTTTCCAAGAGAAATGGGGCCATACAGAACGATGGTACAGAGAGTCCATTTGAGAAAGTAAGCAGTGAATTGCAGGAGTCCTGTAGCTCAGTGGTTAGAGCACTCTTCTCGCAAGTGCGAAACCTGGGTTCTATTCCCAGAAGGGTGAAATTTTGGGCAAGTTTCCTTACTCCACACACCTATTTACTTAGCAAGTAGGAAACCTGTTGTTAGTCGATTGGCGGATCGCTTTTCCGAGGATAATAATCCCTCAAGAAAAAAACCCCAATAATAATTTGGTCACTCTAACCCCGACTGTTTGTGCACCATTGGCTGCCGTGTTTCACCCACAAATATACAGTCAATTCACTTTACAGTATATTCTGTGAAGCGCTTTGAGACATTGAGAAGACGTGAAAACCGCTACATCAAATGCAAGGATTATTATTTTATTATAATTGAGAGTGGTTAGTAGAGAACAAAGAGCTTCAGTTACCATGTGAGTATCAGAAACTGGTGGCTGTTTGGATTGTGCTGAAAGAGCTGAGCACATCGGTGGAGCCCTGAGAGAATAGATTGCGGTGCAAAGGCCAGAGCCCACTTATGTCGTGAGAATCCAATCGAGTGAGTTAGAAAAGTGGATTAAATAATAAATAAACCTTGCTTTTGATATAGCACTTTTAAAGTCGTTAAGATGTTTCAAAGCACTTCACAACATTTACAGTAAAATGTAGTGACATATCTTTTGGAAAGACAGTTATCAGAAAAGTTCATCTTGTGAATGAGTTAGTCTGAATCTACAAGATAAATTCTAAGTAACGGCTTCCAGCAGCAGTCACTTCAAGCCTCAGTTTTCTCATCTGATATCTAGGGACATTTGCCTTCAGGGTGGTGGGAGGACAATGTGCGACATGTCCTAAATGATGTTCTCGAGGACCAAGTACCAGGTTTACTCAGCGCCATCTGCTTAATCCTAGTCCTCATGTGAGGGGCTTTGGTAAATAGACGTGCCTGCTGTGAAGCCGCCCCCGCCTCTAGGGTATAGCGACAGGTCAGTGTAGGTCAGAACTCTCCCTCTCTGCAGCCACTTCTTGTGTTTGCCACAAATCCTGCTTGACCCTAAGCTTTGCAAATGGACTAGAAGAATCCCCTCTGCTGTATCCACAGGACCTCGGATCCATAAAGGCCCTGTTTGGACACACAGATCTTGTGTGCCGCAAGCTTGACCTACACTGGGACCTTGCTGTCCTTGAAGAGAGACAAGCACAACCAGAGTTTGCTGTGTGGTTCTTTAAGATAGTGTATATTAGAATCTGTTAATATAATAATAATCCTTGCATTTGATATAGCGCTTTTTCACGTCTTCTCGACGTCTCAAAGCGCTTCACAGAATAGACTGTAAAGTGAATTGACTGTATATTTGTGGGCGAAACGCGGCAGCCAAATGCGCACAGCAGTGTCCCACAAACAGTCATGGATTAAAGTGACCAATTTTATTATTTTTTTGAGGGATTATTATCAGGCGTATGGAGTAAGGAAACCTGCCCAAGGTTTGGCCCTGCCGGGAATCGAACCCAGGTTTCTCGCTTGTGAGGCGAGTGCTCTACAGGACTAATATTCCTATAAAGGCCCTGTCTGGACCTATTCCCATTCGGGGCGAACAATCAGGACAGAGCGGAAACGGAGCCTGGGCCAAGCGATCAGCATAAAAGGAGCGGCTGAGGTAAGCTGTCTCTGAACTGTCGGAGCAACGAAAAAAGAAAAAGTGACGTTGGTGTGATGTCATTTTCAACAGCAGAACCAGGGACAAACATCGACAAACTGTCAGAAACTACAACACTGACGGCAAATTAAAACGAAATAAACCCAAAAATAAAAAACTAGATATATTGAAAACACTGTGTGAAAGGATGATGTGGCAAGTGAAATGCGAGGACGGTGACATGTGGGAGTTAATGGAGGGCGGCCTGAGCCCGGGCGACTTCATCTGCAGCAAGTGTCTGCAACTCAGGAAGCTCCAGCTGAGAGTAGTTGAGCTGGAAGCCGAGGTGCAGACACTGCGCTCCATCAGGGACAGTGAGAGGTTCCTGGACAGTATGATGGAGGAAACCATCACTCCCCTGAGGCTCGGGAGATGCTTGCATCCGGTTAATGCTCAGGGACAGGATAGTTTTATCAGTCCTGCAGATAATGGGACCCCTGAAAGAGGGGTGATGGAGCCTTGGGCTGCAAACTTGTACAACGGTTCTGAGGATTTGATGGACCAAACAACTCAGGAGGTGATCACCCCACCCCACACCCCAGACGGAAAATGACTGGGTGACTGTCCGGCATGGTAGGAAGAGGGGACGCGCAGGGCAGAATGCCCCCAATAGTGTAGCTCTCTCAAACCGGTACTCTGTACTGAACATTGAGAGCGTTGATATCTCCAGGGAGGACAGTAAAAACCGATTGGTTGAACAAGGGGACATAGGTAACAGGAGCAATGCTGTTGTCATAAGGGATACAACAGTGAGCGGTATAGACAGACGTTTCTGTAACAGAAGACGGGAGTCAAGGATGGTATGTTGCCTCCCTGGTGCAACAGTCTTAGACATCGCAGAAAGGGTGGATAAAATTCTTCAGGGGGAAGGAGAACATCCAGAAGTGGTGGTCCAGGTTGGGATCCATGATATTGGTAAAAAAAAGGGCTGAGATGCTACAGGGTGAATATCAAAAGCTGGTGAACATACTAAAGAATAGAACATCCAAGGTGGTGATCTCTGGATTACTCCCTGTGCCTCGGGCAAATAAGTACCATAATGGCAGGATCAAGCATATGAATGCTTGGCTGGAGAAATGGTCCAGAAAAGAGGGCTTCAGGTTTCTGGATCATTGGGACCAGTTCTGGGGCAGGTGGGACCTGTACCATATGGATGGGTTACACCTAAACAGGGCTGGGGCGAATGTCCTTGCAGACAGGCTAACTAATGCTGTTGGGGAGGGTTTAAACCAGTTTTGAGGGGGAAAGGGAATGCAGAGAATGCAAACGAAGAGCTAGAAAATGGAGAAATAAAACAGGGGGGAAATGCAGAACAGGTCAAGTCGGTCTTGGAGTGCATGTGCAATGCACAGAGTTTAGCAAACAAGATTGGTGAGCTGCAGGCTCAAGTGGTCATAGGGGGATACGATGTAGTAGCAGTAACAGAGACTTGGCTCAAACAAGGACAGGAATGGGAGCTGAATATTCCTGGCTATAATGTATTCAGGAGGGATAGGGAAGGAAAAAAAGGAGGGGTGTGGCAATGTTAATCAAAGATACGGTTATAGCCGTGGAAAGGGTCGAGGTGCTGGAGGGCCCCAAAACGGAATCTATCTGGTTAGAGTTAAGGAACAAAAAAGGAGCTGTTACGCTGGTAGGGGTATACTATAGACCACCAAATAGTGGGAAGGAAATAGATGAGCAGATCTGCAAGCAGATCTCAGACAGATGCAAGGCCAATAGAGTCGTGATAATGGGGGACTTTAATTATCCCAACATAGACTGGCAAAACAACAGTGCAAAGGGCAAGGAGGGGGAAAGATTCCTAAAATGCATACAGGACAACTTTCTTGATCAGTACGTTTCCAGCCCAACAAGGAAGGAAGCAGTGCTAGATCTAGTTCTGGGGAATGAAGTAGGGCAAGTGGAGCAGGTTTCAGTGGGAGAGCATCTGGGCAATAGTGATCATAACATCATTAGATTCAGAGTGCATATGGAAAGAGACAAGGAACCATCTAAGGTGAAGATACTCAACTGGAAGAGGGCAAATTTCAGTGAGTTAAAAAGGGACCTAGCCAAGGTGGACTGGAAAGAAAGATTGGCAGGTAAAACAACTAAAGAGCAGTGGGAAGTCTTCAAGGATGAGATAGCTCGGGGACAGAATAAATACATTCCCACAAAAGGGAAAAGTAGGGCATCCAAACCTCCCTGGATGACGAAGGTAATTGTATCTAGAATGAAGCAGAAAAAGGAGGCGTATGACAAATGTCAAACCCAAGATACAGAAGACAACCAAATAGAATATAGGAAGTGCAGAAGAGGTTTGAAAAAGGAAATAAGAGGGGCAAAAAGATTATACGAAAAAAGGTTAGCGGGTAACATTAAAGGGAATTCTAAAATATTTTACAAACATATCAAGAAAAAAAGGTTAGTCAAAGGTAGGGTGGGGCCAATTAAGGACCAAGGCGGAAATCTTATTGTGGAGGCAGAGGGCATGGCTGATGTACTGAATGAGTACTTTGCATCTGTCTTCACAAAAGAAGTGGATGCACCAAATGCCGCAGTATCGGAGGAGAGGGTAGAGGAAATGGATAGGATAAGTATAAACAGAGAGGAAGTACTGAAAAGGTTGACTGCGCTGAAGGTAGATAAGTCGCCCGGTCCGGACGGGATGCAACCAAGGTTACTATGGGAGGCACGGGTACAAATAGCGGAGGCTTTGGCTACAATTTTTCAATCTTCGTTGGACACAGGAGTGGTGCCAGAGGACTGGAGAGTGGCCAATGTGACTCCCCTGTACAAAAAGGGACAGAAGGACAAACCTGGGAACTACAGGCCAGTCAGCCTAACATCAGTAGTGGGGAAACTCCTGGAGACTATAATCCGGGACAGAATAAATCTTCACTTAGAAGAATATGGGTTAATTAGGGACAGCCAACACGGATTTGTTAAAGGCAAATCTTGTCTAACAAATCTAATAGAATTTTTCGATGAGGTAACGGAGAGGGTGGATAAAGGTAGTGCAGTTGATGTAGTTTATATGGACTTTCAAAAGGCATTTGACAAAGTGCCACATGAAAGACTTGTAAGAAAGATAGAAGCCCATGGTATAAAAGGGACAGTGGCAGCATGGATCCAGAACTGGCTGGGAGACAGAAAGCAGAGAGTTGTGGTGAACGGCTGCTTTTCTGACTGGAGGGAAGTGTACAGTGGTGTCCCCCAGGGATCGGTATTAGGACCACTGCTCTTCTTAATATACATAAATGATCTGGACTTGGGTATAGCAAGCACCATTTCCAAGTTTGCGGACGACACAAAGTTAGGTAGGGTGGTAAACAGTGAGAAGGATAGGAGCCAACTGCAGGAAGACATAGACAGAATGGTAAAATGGGCAGACACATGGCAGATGAGTTTCAATGTGGAGAAATGCGAAGTAATGCATTTTGGTAGAAAGAATGAGGGGAGGCAATACAGGCTGGTAATACAATCTTAAGGGGGTGAAAGAACAGAGAGACCTGGGGGTTCAGGTAAATGAATCCTTGAAGGTGGCAGGACAGGTAGATAAAGCTGTAAAAAGGGCATATGGGATACGAGGCTTTATAAATAGGGGCATAGAGTACAAGAGTCAGGAGGTTATGATTAACCTATATAAAACACTGGTTAGGCCTCAGTTAGAATATTGCGCCCACTATAGGAAGGATGTTAAGGCATTGGAAAGGGTGCAGAGGAGATTTACGAGGATGGTACCAGGAATGAGGACCTTGATTATGAGGAAAGGCTAGAGAGGCTGGGATTATTCTCATTGGAACAGAGAAGGTTACGAGGAGACCTAATAGAGGTCTTCAAAATCATGAGGGGATTTGATGGGTTAGAAAGGGAAAAACTGTTTCCACTGGTGGGTGTGTCAGTGACTCGAGGTCACAGATTTAAAATAGTCTCTAAAAGAAGCAGAAGGGAGGTGAGAAGAAATTTTTTCACGCAGCGAGTTGTTCGAATCTGGAATGCATTGCCTGAAAGGGTGGTCGAGGCTGATTCGATAACAACTTTCAAAAACGCGGTGGATAGGTATTTGAGGAGGACGGGTTTGCAGGGTTACGGGGAAAGGGCTGGGGAGTGGGATTGACATTACATTGCTCTTCTCAAAGAGCCGGCACAGACTCGATGGGCCGAATGGCCTCTTTTTGTTCTGTACAATTCTGTGAATCTACGATTCTATGATTCATTTGCAATAGTTTTATGCATGCTCTATTCATAAAAGTACAATGTACAATGTTACTTACTAAACCAAAGATTGTAGTGCAAATAGAAACGTGAAGAGAATTACGTCAATACCAAAAGCAGCCTTAAAAGACTTGAAATGCTATTTCTAACAGCTGCCACAGAGAGTTCAACTTCTAATCCTTTCTCAGATTCATAGCAACAAACATCCGTGAAAGTAAAAGATGATGTATCTGCCTGCTACCAATTTTTTTTATTTCACTTGCTTATAGTTACACAATATGCTATTACATGGAGAGAAAATCATTGGTCTTCATTTATGGATGTTAAAGACCTTTAGGTCATAAACAGGACACAAGGGAATTACGATGGTCCTAGATGAATGAAACAAATGTCTGGAACTGTCTATCACTGGCCCAATTCTATTTTGTCTGTCGGAACGAATGATTTGTTGAATCCTTGGCTGTATTTCGATTAATTCTAAAGCAATAAATATTGTTGTCAACCACTACTGGAAAGTTCACTCGGGTGTAACGATCGGGTGTATTTTTTGTCTAATAGGTTCCTTGTCTCAGGGTATGTGTCACCCACAAATATACAGTCAATTGACAGACGTTTAGAAGGCGTGAAAAACGCTATATCAAATGCAAGGATTATTATTATTGTTATAACCAAAACCTCATTAGGCACATGTCACACATACAAAAATGCAAGAAATACCTGGAACTGGAGTTGATTTCATTCTGTGATTTCTTGGTTGAGGTTTAGGCAATTTTTCCTCTTCCTCACTGCCCTTCTCTTCCCATTTGTTACTCCCTTCTAAATTATGGCAAGATGGTAGATTGTAGTCACATTCCGCTGAAACATTTGGACTGTCCTTTCTTCGGCTTTTCAAGAAGGAGATTTTTTGGGGTTTCTCTTCTTCATCATCTGAGAGTATAAAATTGTTTCCAGGGTTTTTCTTCCTACTTGCTTTCCCAGATCTTTTACATTTCTTTGTGCTCATGGAACTCTTCAATATATCTGAAAACCAGAAAAAAACAGTGATAGCATGTTATTTTTTTATTTTACAATATGTCATTTTGAATGCCATATCCCTCTTGTTGCCCCTATTCAGGGTAGAAACCAGAATAAATGATTGGGGGTTCACACTCAATCTTGAGTTGGGTTTCTAACGACTGGAAAATATTTTGTGCTGCTTTTCTCAATCCAAGCAGAGGCATTTTACCTGCACGAGTGGGCTGAGAAACAAAAATGGAAGACATGAATTTAAAGTAAGGAGTCCCCAATGATTCAAAATGGACAGTAATCTATTCCCGGGTTTGGCTATCTATCTTAATGTGTTTAATGATCCCGGTATTATCATCCCTCACCTTAACAGCAAATCAGTTTCCGGCCATTGTTATGCCTCACATTATTTAAAATTGTATCATTATTAATACATGTAAACAGTTAACCCTGTGGGTTTGACTCTGGAGGTCCTCAGAACAGCAGATAAAGTGTATGGTACGTACTGCACAGATCTAAGAGCAAAGTGATGACTATTAAAGAATAGCCAGTTCAGAATAACAACTACAGTTTAAAAACAAAACCAGCAGCTCCTTCCAGTGTTTGCCTTAGCTGAATAGATTCAACTTGATATAGTTTAGGACAGGAATATTCCAGTATTCCTATTGCTTCTGTCAGGAAAATCTCTTCTATAAAGCACTGCATTAATATTTTTTTCATTATCTGGTCGCAGTGAATTCCAAACTTATGACAAAATCCATCAAGGACTGCACAAAAGCCATCGAGGGCTGTAGATATATGAATTCTGTTGGTGTTTCAGGTGGCAGTGCTAGTGAAAAGGTACCCTAGTATAGTTCACAACCTTAAGAAAAAAGGGGATAAAGTTGGGGATAATGTCAATGTCATTTTTTGACGTTATTGAAATCTGTTAATTTTGTTTCCATTTTTTAGAATTACATTCGGTGTTTCATTTTTCATTATATTTTAAACGGAGAGATGAATACAGGTTCACCACATTTAATTCAAGTACATTTTTACCACCTCGACCAAGATGAAATAAACTGAAGCCATTTTCAATGTTGTGTGTTCTCACCATCATCATCACCATCGTTGTTGTCGTCATAATCGTCAAAGTCACTAAGGTAATCATTTTCTTCAACTGCAATCTGCTTTGCCATTCTGGCAGCAACTGCCTTGTGGAGTTCATGCTAAATTAATAGAAAACATTCAAAGTGATGAACTTTCATTTTTGTTTATCTCGGCATCAACCAAAAATAAAAAATTAATCATTGGATTTGATATAGCATCTTTCAGGATGGCAGGCATCTCAAAGCACTTCACAGAATATATATTGTAAAGTGTTATGACTGTGTATTTGTGAGTGAAATGAGTGAAACTAGAAAATGAAAAAATATTTTGGGGAATGGGGCTATGAGATCTTTTTATTAAAACAATATATATTCCACAAAAATGATTAAATAAAAGAAACACACCGTGAAAGAAACCAAAACGTCTGCATGGTTCATGATTGGCTCAAGTGTGTCGTACTCTCACCTCTGAGTCAGAAGGTTGTGGGTTCAAGACCCACATTGGGACTTGGAACTCATATAGTCTAAGCTGACAATTGTTGGAGATGTGACATTAAACTGAGTCTGCTAGTTCAAGTGGACATTAAACAGCCTAGACACTATTCAAAAAAGAGAAGACTTTCTCCAGGTGTCCTTGGCAATAATATCCAAATCAAAATCGTCAGCCTCGCCTTCAAAGCTCTCCATGGCCTTGCTCCTTCCCATCTCTGTGACCGGCTAACTCCATATTGATCTGCCTGCTCCTTCCGCTCAGCAGACCTGCATCATGTTCCCTGACCAGCCCACCCCACCATCGGTGGTCGGACCTTCAGCCACTCTGCTCCCATCCTTTGGAACTCCCATCCCACAGTCCCTTCATCTTGCTCCCTCCCTTACCTCCTTCAACAACAACAACAACAAAATTACATTTGTACAGCGCCTTTCACATCAGGAGGACGTCTCAAGGCGCGGACAGACAGAGCCACGAACCCGAGCTAGGTTCCGGGTGGGGGAGTGGGGAGGACAGGGGGATAAGGAGGGAGATCGAAAACACGCTCGAAGAGGAAGGTCTTGAGGTGGGTCTTCAAAGTGGTGAGGGAGGGGGTGAGACGGAGGAACTGCGGGATGGAGTTCCAGAGGGTGGGTGCAGAGTGGCGGAAGGCCCGCCTGCCAATAGTGGGGCGAGCAAGGTGGGGGATGTGAAGCAGGCTGGAGCCCGCTGAGTGGAGGGAGCAACAGGGTGGCAGGGGGTTGGGAGGTCGGAGAGATAGGGGGGAGCAAGACCATGGAGGGCTTTGAAGGTGAGGACCAGGATCTTGAATTGTATCCTGTGTGATGGAAGTCAATGGAGTTGGGCAAGGATGGACATGGGCAGGAGAGGACATGGGCTGCAGAGCTCTGGATGATCTGCAGCTTGTGGAGGGAGGAGTCGGGGAGGCTGACAAGCAGTGAGTTTGCATAGTTGAGCCTCAACGTAATGAAGACGTGTATGAGGGTTTTGGCGGCCTGCGGTGTGAGGGAGTGTTGGAGCCAGGAGACGTTGTGGAGGTGGGGGAAAGCAGAGCGGATCATAGCGCAGATGTGGGGTAGAAAGGATAGTTGAGGGTCAAACAAGCGCAGGCGGTGTAAGAGATACGATCTGAACCAGTCAAGGACAGCGCCGTTGAGGTGAGAGGAAAGGAGAGGTGCTGGATGAAGATAGAGTGGTCGATGGTTTTGAAAGCAGCAGAGGTCAAGGAGGCAGAGGGAGCCCTGGTCCCAGATGGACAGAATATTATTTGTTATTTAGACCAGGTTTCTGCTGTGAGCGATATGGAAGCCCGATTGGAGGGGTTCGAGAAGGGAGTGGCAGGAGAGGAAGGAGTGAAGCTGAGAAGCAAGGACCTCCAGGACCTTGGAGAGGAAGGGGAGGTTGGAGATGGGGCAGTAGGTAGGGAGTAGAGAAGGGCCCAGGGAGGGTTTTTTAAGGATAGGAGTGATGACAGTGTTTTTTAAAGGAGTGGGAACAGTACCAGAGGACAGGGAGAGGATATCAGTGAGTAGAGCGGCAAGGAGGTGGAGCTGGGTAGTAAGGAGTGGGGTAGGGGTGGGGTCGAGGGAGCAAGTGGTGGATTTCATACGGATTATGGTGGTGATGAGAGGAAGGGGAGATGGGTTCAAAGGTGTGGAGGCGTGTCTCAAGACTCTCCTCTTCGACAACATCTTTGTTCACCTTCCTACCCATACTCTCCATCCCTCCTGATACCAACCACCTGTTTGGATCCAAACCCTTGACAGTCCAGCACTTTAGGATGTCCTCCCGACACAAAAGGCACTATACAAATGTAATTGTTGTTGCTAAACTGAGATCCTGTCTACATGATCTGGTGTATTTAAGTGCTCTACCCTGTGTGGAAGGCACTATATAAGTGCAAGTTGTTGATGCGGATGTTCTGTCCTATTCGGAAACCTAAAGGGAGTTTGTCCTAGTTTCCTGGACAACAATCTCTCAATGAGTTGGTTATTCCCACATGGCTGTTTTGGGGCAGCTTGTTTGCACAAAATGCTTTGCGCCTACAGAAACAATCACCGCTTAAATTACTGTAAAGAATTTAATGAGACATTCGGATGTAAGGATTCCTTAAAAGTTATTACTTACTTGAAAAGCTGTTTTTCTAGCAACTTTAGGGCTTTTCTTGTAGTTGTAGGCTAAAGTGGTAGAAAAATCATCTTCATCTGACATTTTTATTATATTTACAGGAAGATCTGCAAGAAACAAAATATCAAATTGAAATGTCTGCATTAAATTCCAAAATATTATTATGGTTATCAACAATAAATATCAACATAATAACATTTTAGTAACCTTACTAAATGCTGTATTAGTAAATATTGAAGAAGATTTTCAACTGTCAAATTAATGTTAAAGAAACTAGTTCCTGTTTCTGCTACAACATAGCCCACAGTTAAAGACTTTGTGATAGACCCTGAATAAATATTCTCACATCCTTTAAGTAAATATAAATAACTACAGTATATGCATACAAAAGGGTGATATTGTTAATTTATTTTTGATGCTTTTAATGCAGAAAAACTGGAAATATGGCCACTGCTTGCAGTGGCAATCAATGAGTGTTATGACAGCACTGTATCCTGTTGATCAAGATGACATGACTGCTTATGTTATAACGCTGAAACAGGCGACAATGTAATTATGTTTACAACTATAATTAACATTATAGTGAGATTGGTATGGCTGAGTATGTGTAATTTGCTGCTATTATAATAGCAATCTCTGTCTCCAGGAATCTTTTTACAAAAGAAAATGCATTAAATTAAAAGATGTAAATAATTTCAAAATGGATTGAATAACTTTTTAGGACCATTTTAATATTCTGTACATTAGAGCTGTATTTATACAAAGGTGTGAAGTACATGTTATTTACTTGTGCAATATGCCATCTAGAGTATCCAGGCAGTTACTACTCTGTAAAACATTACAATCATTTATCATTTTACCCTTAGACATTGCAAAGTTCCTGATAATCTCTAAGAATTCCAGGAATAAAGCTGGGGGAACGGATTTCGAACAAACGTATTTGAATGATTTGTTCAGTATTTGGATCCATCCGACCTTCAGCGGGAAAGAGTTTTATTTTTTGGGGGGGGGGTGGCGGAGCGTGTTTATTTCCAAGTTTCTTTTCGACTGCGCCTGTGGTCACCGTCCCGTCCCCCCCCCCCCCCCGCCCCGGCTCGGTCCCGGGAACCGGGAGTCCTGTAGCTCAGTGGTTAGAGCACTCGCTTTGCAAGTGAGAGACCTGAGTTCAATTCCAGGCAGAGGGCGAAACCTTGGGCAAGTTTCCTTACTCCACACAGAGCCTAATAATAATCCTCCAAAAACCGAAAACAATAATAAATTGGTCATTTTCAATCTACGACTGTTTGTGGGACATTGCTGTGCGCAATTGGCTGCCGCGTTCGCCCACAAATATACAGTCAATTCACTTTACAGTATATTCTGTGAAGCGCTTTGGGACGTCCTCCCGACGTGAAAAGCGCTATATCAAATGCAAGGATTATTATTATTATTATTAACTGTAAAGTGCTCTGAGACGCCGCCCGGCGTGGAGGGCGCTATATAAAACCAAGTTGTTGTTGTTGTTGTTGGTGGTGGTGGTGGTACACACACAGACACCTATCCCTTTGGTTAAATGTATCCAAACTAAACCGCTGACACACAGACTGGGGATATAGAAACACAGACTGTACTCAGGGTGTGGACAGATGAAACCTGTGCTCAGGATTTGCACATATACATAACACACAGAGACTGCACTCAGGTTGTACACACAAACACACTACTCGGGGTGTACACACACGCACACACTGTACTCGGGGTGTACACACACTCACTGTACTCGGGGTGTACACACACTCACTGTACTCGGGGTGTACACACACACACACACACTGTACTCGGGGTGTACACACACACACTGTAACAAGTGTGTACACACACTCACTGTACTCAGGGTGTACACACACACACTGTAACAAGTGTGTACACACACTCACTGTACTCGGGGTGTACACACACTCACTGTACTCGGGGTGTACACACACTCACTGTACTCGGGGTGTACACTCACTGTACTCGGGGTACACACACTCACGGCCTCTGTGTGTGTATGTGTGTGAGTGTGTGTGTGAATCTCCAGGTGAAGCTTCTCGGTCGGTAACCAGGGAACCAGGAAGGCATCATCATCATCATCATCATCATCCTCCAGGTACAGCGCCACCTACAGACCGGAGGCCAGAGCCTGAGTGTGAGAGACTGAGTGTGAGAGAGACTGAGTGTGTGAGAGAGACTGAGTGTGAGAGACTGAGTGTGAAAGAGACCAAGTGTGAGAGACTGAGTGTGTGAGAGAGACTGAGTGTGTGAGAGAGACTGAGTGTGTGAGAGAGACTGAGTGTGTGAGAGAGACTGAGTGTGAGAGAGACTGAGTGTGAGAGAGACTGAGTGTGAGAGAGACTGAGTGTGTGAGAGAGACTGAGTGTGAGAGACTGAGTGTGAGAGAGACCGAGTGTGAGAGACTGAGTGTGTGAGAGAGACTGAGTGTGTGAGAGAGACTGAGTGTGTGTGAGAGAGACTGAGTGTGAGAGAGACTGAGTGTGAGAGACTGAGTGTGAGAGAGACCAAGTGTGAGAGACTGAGTGTGTGAGAGAGACTGAGTGTGAGAGAGACTGAGTGTGAGAGAGACTGAGTGTGTGAGAGAGACTGAGTGTGAGAGACTGAGTGTGAGAGAGACTGAGTGTGAGAGAGACTGAGTGTGTGAGAGAGACTGAGTGTGTGAGAGAGACTGAGTGTGTGAGAGAGACTGAGTGTGTGAGAGAGACTGAGTGTGTGAGAGAGACTGAGTGTGAGAGAGACCGAGTGTGAGAGACTGAGTGTGTGAGAGAGACTGAGTGTGTGAGAGAGGCTGAGTGTGTGTGAGAGAGACTGAGTGTGAGAGACTGAGTGTGAGAGAGACCAAGTGTGAGAGACTGAGTGTGTGAGAGAGACTGAGTGTGTGAGAGAGACTGAGTGTGTGAGAGAGACTGAGTGTGTGTGAGAGACTGAGTGTGTGAGAGAGACTGAGTGTGAGAGAGACTGAGTGTGAGAGAGACTGAGTGTGTGAGAGAGACTGAGTGTGTGAGAGAGACTGAGTGTGTGAGAGAGACTGAGTGTGTGAGAGAGACTGAGTGTGTGAGAGAGACTGAGTGTGAGAGAGACTGAGTGTGAGAGAGACTGAGTGTGTGAGAGAGACTGAGTGTGTGAGAGAGACTGAGTGTGTGAGAGAGACTGAGTGTGTGAGAGAGACTGAGTGTGTGAGAGAGACTGAGTGTGTGAGAGAGACTGAGTGTGTGAGAGAGACTGAGTGTGTGTGAGAGACTGAGTGTGTGAGAGAGACTGAGTGTGTGAGAGAGACTGAGTGTGTGAGAGAGACTGAGTGTGAGAGAGACTGAGTGTGTGAGAGAGACTGAGTGTGTGAGAGAGACTGAGTGTGTACGAGAGAGACTGAGTGTGTGAGAGAGACTGAGTGTGTGAGAGAGACTGAGTGTGTGAGAGAGACTGAGTGTGAGAGAGACCGAGTGTGAGAGACTGAGTGTGTGAGAGAGACTGAGTGTGTGAGAGAGACTGAGTGTGTGAGAGAGACTGAGTGTGTGTGAGAGAGACTGAGTGTGAGAGACTGAGTGTGAGAGAGACCAAGTGTGAGAGACTGAGTGTGTGAGAGAGACTGAGTGTGTGAGAGACTGAGTGTGTGAGAGAGACTGAGTGTGTGAGAGAGACTGAGTGTGTGAGAGAGACTGAGAGTGAGAGACTGAGTGTGAGAGAGACCGAGTGTGAGAGAGACCGAGTGTGAGAGACTGAGTGTGTGAGAGAGACTGAGTGTGTGAGAGAGACTGAGTGTGAGAGACTGAGTGTGAGAGAGACCGAGTGTGAGAGACTGAGTGTGTGAGAGAGACTGAGTGTGTGAGAGAGACTGAGTGTGAGAGACTGAGTGTGTGAGAGAGACTGAGTGTGTGAGAGAGACTGAGTGTGAGAGAGACTGAGTGTGTGAGAGAGACTGAGTGTGTGAGAGAGACAGTGTGAGAGAGACTGAGTGTGTGAGAGAGACTGAGTGTGTGAGAGAGACTGAGTGTGTGAGAGAGACTGAGTGTGAGAGACTGAGTGTGTGAGGGACTGAGTGTGTGAGAGAGACTGAGTGTGTGAGAGAGACTGAGTGTGAGAGAGAGACTGAGTGTGTGAGAGACTGAGTGTGTGAGAGACTGAGTGTGTGAGAGACTGAGTGTGTGAGAGACTGAGTGTGTGAGAGAGACTGAGTGTGTGAGAGACTGAGTGTGTGAGAGACTGAGTGTGAGAGAGACGAAGTGTGTGAGAGAAACTGACTGTGTGAGAGAGACTGAGTGTGTGAGAGAGACTGAGTGTGAGAGAAACTGAGTGTGTGAGAGAGACTGAGTGTGAGAGAAACTGAGTGTGTGAGAGAGACTGAGTGTGTGAGAGAGAAGAGATAGAAGGTGTGAGACTCGGGGAGTGTGTGAGAGAAAGACAGACAGATGCACCCACACAGAGTGTGAGAGTGTGAGTTTGAGAGAGTCTGCGTGTGAGTTAGACAGTGTGTGTGAGAGAGGAACTGAGTGTGACAGGGAAATGGACTGAGTGTGAGAGACACCGAGAGAAATGGGGTGAGAGAGATAATGAAAAAGAGTGTGTGAGAGAGAGAGAGAGAATATCTGTGCGTGAGAGTTGAGAGAGATAGAGATGGACTTATGATTGACAGATGGACCCTCAGAGAGAGAGAGAGAGAGAGATTGAAAGACAGAGCCTGGCGACTGGAGAAAAATAAATGCCCTGTTCCAATAACATGAGTGTTTGGTTTTCGACCCAAAATACAGTACAGTATTGCATGTTAAGGGTTTTAGTTTCAGGGCTGCCTATATTTGTAAAGTCTTATTTTCCTCTCCTCTTTTGCAGTGCTGCAGGTTGTATTGATTCTCAGTTAGACCACTAGATGAAGCTGTCTGCAAAGACAAATCCTTTACTCTGGGAGGCAAGTTAGAAGGAGACCCATCAACTTTCTTCAACCTAAGTGCACCTCATTATGCCTGGCCACTGGCTGGGTTTTTTTTTCGTCTGCATTCACTAAATTCTTTTTTTTTTTTGGATGTCAGGCTGATTATTGTATGAGGGATGAAAGGGGTTTTGAACCATATTCTGAATTGTTCACTTGTTCACCCACTGGTGAAGAGTGGGTGTAAGGAGTTCAGTAAATAATAATCCTTGTATTTGGTAGAAGACATTTTACAATGGAAAGATGTCTCAGAGAGCTTCCTAGGATTTATTGTGAATTGGAGTGACTGTATTTGTAAGAAAACTCGGAAGCCCATTTCACACAGCAAAATTCAACAAATAACTATATTCTCTAAGATGAGAAATTTGAATACTTGCATTGCAAAAATATCCATCCTTCAAACAGGCTTGTGATCCACAGAACTGTAGACTGGTCACATCATGTTTTAAATTATATATTAGATAAACTAATGAAGAAAAAGTCTGCACAGAATTCTTCACGTTTTGAGGAAAATGTGCAACAATTGTTGTGGTGCCTGAAGTTCACTACAGGTGACTGCAAAAGCAAGAGAATATCATAAACATTCTTGCATTTGATATTGTGCCTTTCACATCATGAGAATGTATCAAAGCATTTTCCGATTTACACTAAATTGTAGCGTCTTGTGTATTTTATAAGCAAATGCCTTAGTAATATCGTTGCCATAAATATTGTGGAATCATAGTCAATGCCTATCAAGTTATTTTTAACTGGGTACAAATTGTACAGATAAGATTCCTTCTTGTGCTTCTGTAGGAGAAGCAAAATATCTTTGAGTAAACTTAAGTTTTAGAGGAAGTAAAATGCTTTTTTAATTGTATTTTAGTGGATTACAACCTGTGCCATGCAGCACTATGTTCCTAAAGCTGCAGTAAAACAGTAAGTAGGGTGAAACCTTGGGCAAGTTTCCTTACTCCACTCACCTAATAATAATCCCTCCAAAACAAAACAATAATAAATTGGTAATTTTCAATCCACGACTGTTTGTGGGACACTATTGTGCGCAATTGGCTGCCGCGTTTCGCCCACAAATATACGGCCAATTCACTTTACAGTCTATTCTGTGAAGCGCTTTGAGACATCGAGAAGACGTAAAAAGCACTATATCAAATGCAAGGATTATTATTATTATATTATAAGTAACCATAGCAACAATGTAATCTAAAACCATATAAATGACTGTAGCTTGTATTGTCTGGACATAGCCCGGTGAGCACACAACTGTTTGTATTTTGTCAATGCAACTATCGGTGCGGATACTGAACCTAACATTAGAGGGCATTTGAGTTCATCATTTTTGTATTTTTTTTAGCTGTAATAAAAAGTACTGAGAACTGGGAGCTCGATGAATCACAGTTGAGAGTATAAGAACATGTATTATTAGAGCAAGTAATATTAATAAACACCAACAACAACAAAATTACATTTGTATAGTGCCTTTCACGTCGGGAGGACGTCCCAATTAATTCTTGCATTTGAGCGCCTTGTCACATCAAAACATTGCAAAGTTCTTCATAGTAGCAACTATGTAGGCAAATATGACATCCAATTTTCATACAACAGTGTTCCACTAACAGGCAGGGGACGAATGGCCAATTCAACTATTATCAACGACACTGGGAGAATCTCCCATCTCTTTTTGGATAGTATCATGCATGGATTGTGTCAACATTCACCTGACCCGAATCTTGGTTTAACAGCGCTCCCTCAATTCTGCACTGGAAGGTCAGCTTAGATCGATTAGCTTAAAGTTCCTGACCCAGGACTTGAATGTACAATTTTCTGACCCAGAGACAAAAAGTGCTGCCAACTGAGCCAGAAGGACATGTATAATTGCTATTGAGTGTTGTGACTGTGTTTCTGTAGACAATCTCAGTAAACATTACATTAGAATATACAGCACAGAAACAGGCCATTCGGCCCAACTGGTCTATGCAGGTGTTCATGTTCCACATGAGCCTCCTCCTGCCCTTCCTCAACTAAGCCTTCAAGCGTAACCTCTATTCCTTTCTCCCTCATGTACCTATCTAGCTTTCCCTTAAATACATCTATGCTATTTGCTTCAACAACTTCTTGTGGTAGCATGTTCTACATTCCCATTACTCTTTGTGTGAAGAAATTTCTTCTAACTTCCCTATTT